GTACCAAACTGAACCCTAATTTTTCAGAAACTTCAACTCCAAAATTCTCATCACACAGTCAACATAAATGAAAACTAAGGACATGGTTAGCTTCAGGGCATTGATATTTACATTTTTGCTTTAGAAAATAAATGCAAATGATGCTTGTACAAAGATTTTAAAGTTTAGAAAACTTACCTCAAAAGTGGGAATCGAGTTTGAAGTTAGAGCACTTTTGGAAGTGTTAGGATGATCTGGATAGCTTCACTGAACTCCTAGGAAGCTTTTGCAATTCCTGCCTTGGATTGAGAGTGTCCCAATTCTTCTGTACAAGTCGAGTTGTAGAGGTGTAAAGTGAGGTTTGTACAATGATGGCGGGGGTGTTACAGTGATGAAACAGGGGTGTGGATGGCTTCTATAGGATGTATAAATGGTGTTTGAATGATAAAAAAGGAAAATGCACGAGTAGATTTGAAGTTGGGTGTTGGAAGCTTCAAATGTGCAACAATGGAGTTTTCTTGGTGATTCTGAGTTTTAGAGTGTTTAAGGGAATGTCCACTCGTGTGTTAGCTTGCAAATAACCTCTCTATTTATAGAGAAAAGGTTTGAGGGCTTAAAGTAACCATAATTTCAAGATAACATGTTATGGTTTTAAAGCTTGGTTTTGAAGTAACTTGCAAATGCATGGTTCCAATGCAATGGTACAATTGTTCATAGGGTGGTTAGGAGCTGTAGACATGTTGCTTCTTGATTTGGCATTGTTTGTGTGCAGAAGGAACAGGTGAGAGGCTTAAAGAGAGTTGACAAAATGCATAAAGCATGCTTTATGTAAATGGCAATGGTGCCTTTATGACATAAATGGAAAAATCATTTGGAAAATGGATCAAACACTTGGATAATGGTTCAATAAGTTGTGTAAACATTTAATTATGGAGAGATTTTCAAGCTAATGGACCTGAAAGTGAGATTATGCAGCATGACTTGAAGACTGGGTTATGAACTTGTAAAAAAAATGACCTATAATGCAACCTTAGATGCCCAACTTCATCTCTTCGATTCTCCTTGTCAAAGCATGATAAAAATGTGTTCTAGGACATTTTGGAAAGCTTGAAACATTGTCTACAACTTTCATGTTGTGAGTTTTGGCTAAATAAATTGGGATCTTGGTGAAAATGGCCACAAAGTTGGGATAAAAAATTGTAAAAAAATTCTAAGTGTTGGATAAAAAAGATCATAACTTCATGAGATTATATCTCTTAAATTAAGAATTTTTGAGGATCATCCCACATTAACAAAGTTGTAGAATTTATCAATCCCCTACAACTTTCATGTTGAAAGTTTTCCTTGAATCAGCTTGCATCTTGAGGAAACTTGCTTGTGAAGTTAGGGGTTTTATTAAGAACAAAAACACAGAATTTTTTCTACGTGTTAGAAAATTTTCCAAAATTTGAATTTTGTTGAATTTTTGTTTTCTTGATGATCAAGTTTGATATTTTTCAATATCTTGATGATTCTTGACTTTTGAATTCTAATATTGACCAAAAAGTCAAAGTTTGACTTTTGAGTGATTGTTGACTTTTCATCAATTGATTCAATTCTTCAACTATCAATCACTTGCATCTTTGGAAATGTTTTAGACCATTTAATTAGGTCAATATTTTGTATTTGAACCCTAGAGATCATGCTTCAAGCCATTAGGTCATGCACTTGGTCAAAACCCATGATCACTCATCTTCAATCAAAACCCTAATTTGGGCAATTTTTGACTTCTGATGACTTTAGGGTTTTCCTTGAGGAATCATGGCCAACCATTGATCAAATGATGAATATTACCTTAAAATATTGATATTGACAAAATCTTGAAGTTTGATTGTATATTGACCACAATTGACTTTTTACCCAATGTAGTTGATTTTTAGTCATTTGAGTCATTGACTGGGCAAATTTGTGATGGAAGACTTGAAACTTGACAAGAGCATTGTTGAAGACCTATGATGAACCATAAAAGTCATTTGATATCCTTGCAACCCAATCTTCTTTGAGAAACTCAAAACCCTAGTTGAAGACCCTTGCTTAGGAGGTGGTTTTGATCAACTCTTGAGAATCCTTGAGTATTTGAGAATCATAGAAGAATGTATGGAATAAAATGGGAGGGAAAATTTTGGGGTACAACACTCTTCATCTTCAACCTACAATCTATGCATACACACTAGCATTACATTGTAATGATGTTCTATTGGGGTGCCATCTAGACGAGGTTTGAAATCGTCCAATTAGGTTCTTGTGTAGCCGAAGATATTGGGTTGAGATTTGTAGGGGTCTCCATTCGGAAAAACCATAGGTTTATCCTCCAAGATCATTGGTTGATTTGGGGGTTTTCGTATAAGACGTTCAAGAGGTAATTACGGCCAAATAAAGTCCTTTGGAGATAAAGAACACAAGGGATCATTTGTAGATAAAGAACGTAAAGGAAGTGGCGAGAGAACGACAAATTACAATTGAAGTCTTGTAGTTACAATAGGTACAATTGATGGTGCGTGAAAGCTTTGGAGATAAAGTATTAAAAGGAGTAGCAAGATCCGGATAATCAATTGGTAGGTATTGTGTCTTTCTCTTGTTGAAGATCAAAGGAAGAGAAGGGCTTGAATCAATATCAAATGGTTATGGTTTATAGGGTTGATCTTGAACACATCTCTTGTATTCATACTTTTGCAAAGTAAAAAAGTATCCTAATTCCACATTGGAATTGGGTGTAGACGTATCCGCTTGCAAGGACGAAAGTAGGAAACTGTGTAGACAAATCCTTATGTCTTTTTTCTTTTATTGCTTTACTAGCTTTAATTTTCCTACATTAATTTGTTAAATAACATTGAGTAATTTATCGACACGTAGGAATTTTTCCAAAACTATTTTTGTTTTGAATTGTGTGTTTAGTTGCTTATAATCACTTTTGATTATAAGTAATTTTTCATATCAACACAACACAGAGGAAAATTCTGAAACATTGATTGCACGCCAAGTGTTTGACAAATTGTTTGTTCAGATGTGCATATGTGAAGTCTGAAGTATTTTGAGTTTTTTGCCAGAAGCCTCTAATAAGCCATACAAGTGTACTAAGAAATTCCCCTTAATAATGATTAGTTGTGTGATGTTAATGTTGTAATATAAATTATAAAAGAATAACTTATTAATAAAATCTAATAAAGAAGAACAAGACAGACGAGTTTGGTTAAATTCGGTTAAAAAAGCTCAATCCGATAAGACTCACAATTGGTCATACATCATCCATTTCCGTCCATTTTCTAAACGATTTGATCGGATGACGGGTAATTTGAATTGCGGTTAGCTTCAGTTGGTTTGGTTCAGATCCTTCAAGGCTTTAAAGATCTTCATAGAAAAAAATGTAAAAAAAGAAAGAAACAAAGAGAATATACAAATAAAAGTTATAGCATGATAGTGGATTTAGCTTCTGGACAGAAGCGGAATATTGATTATTCTTAATTGTTTCTATATGATAATATTTTATTTATTTATTGAGTGACTCTATGTAGACCCCAGACCAACCAATTCCATGCATAGAAATTATTTATCTGCCATGGTGCATTTGAAAGAGAAGAAGTTATATATTTCATAGTTTTTTCATTTATTTTTAAAATCAAACTTTCTATATTAATGGACATTGCATCAAAAATAAAGAGAGAAGAAAATTAAAACGAGAAAGAAGGAGTGATGTGTAAGAGAGTAAGAATTGATGGTATCGGAAAATAAGTAGTTTGAGTGCATATGAATCTTGAAAATAGGTAGATTTAAAAAAAGAAAGAGAAATATGGTTGAAATTTAAAATAGAAATTGAATATTTGATATTTTGTGAGTTTCAAGAGAGATGTGATATACTAGACTAAAAATAATAATGATAATATGTGTTAATTTTTATATAATGGCAGGTGAAATACTATGCCTATTAATTTAATAAAAAAGTAAAATGAAAAATGTTTTACGGCTAAACTGCAACTATTTCCTGTATGAAACTGGATTAGTTATAAGATGAGAGAACATGCAATCCGATTTCGTCCAAACCTATCTAATTTAAACTGAATATAGTAAACCGTAGACCCGTTAATTCGAAAGAGCCCACCTAAAACATTATTTAATCTATCGGGCCCTTCACAATGCTATACTATCTTTTCCCAAAAGTAATAATATAATAATATGAAAAAAAGTATATGCAAAACACATGACAGAATGTTAGTATAATTCTATCAGACGACAAATATAAAATTAATTTATACCACCTTTAATATTCAATAATATTATAATATTTATGCATTTTAAAATGAATTTAAAGGAAATATATTGATAATATAATTTTTTATAGTTATTTAATAAAAATATATTATTTTATGATGTTATATAATTTTTTTAAAAATTACAGTCTAAAATTCATAATTGTAATTAATTGATAATATGAAATATTTTTACACTTTAGTGTATTATCTATTTTCTTTTTTAAAATTATCTTAATAAAATACTAAAAAAAACAAAAAAAAACTATTGATTACCAATTATAAATAAATAAAATAGTAAAAACAGAGAAAACTAAAATTCTACATTGTATTGTATATGACGAGTAAAATAAAATAAAATAAAATAATATAAAACGTATTATAAAAAATGAAAGACGAAGAAAAGGAAGCAGAAGCGAGAAAAGGAAAGGTATCGAGATTAAGCAAACGAAAGAGTAATTCCGAATCAAGTAGTGATTAACAAGAATCAACACAAGAATGGAGTGTATCACTCATGTCTCAGTCACAGTCACACTGTAAAGTTATTTATTAATTTTTTCTGTATTTCCTTTCATATGAAATTGGATTTCCTCAGCATTTCCGATCCAGAGAAAGAGAACCCTTTGTGACAGCTGTATCCAGAGAAAAAGATATAGATTAGATTTTTCGTGTGGTAATTGGTTTATCTCCTCGCAAGTGGCGAGATCCATCTCGCGCTAGGGTTTTTGATTTCGCGAGATGGCGACTTCGTCATCTTCATCGTCGTCGTCGATGTTGTCCACGAGTTCAAGCTGGCGCGAAGGAATGTCATCGGATAATGTTAAAGGTTTAGTTCTTGCTCTTTCGTCGAGTTTCTTCATCGGTGCTAGTTTCATTGTTAAAAAGAAAGGTTTGAAAAAGGCTGGTGCCAGTGGTGTTAGGGCAGGTATATTTCGTTTTCTCTTCGAATCTTACTTTAATTTCACTCTTCGATCTGCTGAATTGTGCTGTTCTACTTTTTTCGAGTTCTTAGCGTTGGAATTAGTTGCTGAATTATCTTTACTTGATACTGTCGACTTCATTTTCCTAGTTTTGGATTATTAGTTTTTCTTAAGATCTGTAATCTTGGAGGTTTTACTTTTTTGAAACTGGATGAGTTACAACGCTGAGATATTCATGTGTTTGTATTTAATTTAGAACATGGATAGATGTAGTTTTGGTTCAGTTGGTAGATTAGGTGTTGTCTTTGAATATGACTTCCGGTTTTGGGGCTCTTTACAATTGTTTTCTTGTGCTCTTTGATATCAAGTAATGAGTGATCGGGATTATTTTAGAGGATAATGGAGTTTGTTGAAGCCTGAGCTTGATGTTAATGTTATAATAGGGTGAAAATAGAGTTTTTTGTGACCCAAAATGTGGGGGGCTTTATATTGGCAGATTTGGGTTTATAGGAGTTTGTCGTGACCTAAAAACATGGGGGGTTTCTTATTGACATATTTGAGCATATAGAGGCTGGAATGAGAAACTGCCTAGTCTTAGCGCTGTCTCAATTGTCATGGAGAAAATGGAGTTTGTTATGGCCTGATCTTGGTGTTAATGTTAAAATATGGTGAAAAAATTGTCTACAAGTTGAATGGTTTTCATCTCGTTTGTTGCTACTCTTCAGTATAGACATCTTTTACATTTCTCCTACAGATAATTATATTATGTTAAAATGAATTGGATGCTTGTCATTTCTACTGGCTAAGCCTGGTTTATATATAGACTGGGTAGGGGGCAGGTTTCATTTTTTTGCCTCATATTTGTGTTCCTAGTTTATACCCACTCAAGTCACGTGCAACGGTAGCTAACTCTAAAAATGACTATCTTTCGCAGGAAGTGGAGGCTATTCCTACCTGTATGAACCACTTTGGTGGGTGGGCATGATAACAAGTGAGTCATTCACGGTTATGTTTATTGTGGATTGATTATTAAATTAGATGTTGGTATTTATTTTCGTTAACAACTGTCTGTGCAACATCTTATTGTCCGACTTGGTAAACTGAATTTATTATTTTTCTGTCATCCCCATAACTCTTTTTTCAGTTTATAGTCATTTTACTTGGACATAAAGTAATGTAGCTATGGATCTGATATTGCGTAATGTTAGCTCCACGTAGAACCCTAAGAAATCCAAATATGGGTGTTCTTATCTATACTTTTCTCCCATCCTTGTATGATTTATTAACTCTTAGCAAAAAGTCACAAGTTTATGTTAAGTTGTATTGCTTTTTGTAATATGCTGTCCAGATTTGTTGTATAAGTAAAAAAGTTGCCAAAGCCTGCACCATTTCGGCTTTTCCATATATTGCTTTTACTTTATTTTTGCTTTCACACGTTTCCCAGGGAATATTTCTACATTCCAATCCACGGATACCAGCAAAATATCTGCACACAATGTATTGACCTGATTTGCATACAACTGATGATACTGAAAATGGATTAAAATGTCTGTTCTAACAATGTCTATTTCAACAGTGATTGTTGGAGAGATTGCCAATTTTGCAGCATATGCATTTGCTCCTGCTATATTGGTCACTCCTCTTGGCGCTCTTAGCATTATTATCAGGCATGATAAAATTTAAGCTTCGTACTTATGCACTACTCTCGGTAAATTCTGATTTTTGATGTTGTCCTGCAGTGCTGCTCTTGCCCATATTATCTTACGGGAGAGACTGCATATATTTGGAGTTCTTGGTTGTGCTTTGTGTGTTGTGGGGTCTACAACAATTGTTCTACATGCTCCTCAAGAAAGGGTAATTGAATCAGTGCCAGAAGTGTGGGGTCTTGCTATGGATCCAGGTAGCCATGTTTCAGCCTTGAAATAATGTCATATTGTAATCCTATTACTAACCAAACACCAATCTTTCTTTTGCAGCCTTTCTCTTTTATGCAGCATTGGTTATAACAGCTACTTTTATTCTTATCTTCCACTTCATTCCTCTATATGGCCAGACACACATAATGGTTTATGTTGGTGTTTGTTCCCTTGTAGGTTCCCTATCGGTATGTCTCATCATCTAGTTGTTGACGAATAGTCCTTGATTTCCCCTAGCTCTCTTTTTGTTTTTCCTTTTCCTTTTATGTACTTATGTTGTCAGGTTCTCTTTTAATAGGTTATGAGTGTTAAGGCTCTTGGAATTGCCATAAAGTTAACTCTGTCTGGGATGAATCAGCTAATTTACCCTCAAACTTGGGTATTCGCGTTAGTTGTAACTGTTTGTATTCTTACGCAAATGAATTATTTAAATAAGGTATGATAGTTTTCTTGTTTCTTGATGCTAATGTTAATTTGAAGTGTTATCTTATATTTCCACAGTGCACTTATTTGGCTTAGTTAACTGCATTATTCCATTGAAATTGGTGGAATTATCATGTGTTTTAGACTTTATTTTGGTGAATGCCTTTTGATTTTAAAACACTTTACATGTGTACTATTTCCTTGATTGTATTGATAAAAATATTAAATTGTTCAAGTGGTGATTGTTATTCTTCTCATCTGGCTTATGCATGATATTTTTTTCTTGAGCATTAGTCTCTTTCTCCTCTTTCTCTCTCTCCCTCCCCCATTTATCACTCTATGTCTTTGAGCACACTACTGCCACATACGACCTGGAGATCTTTTAACTAATTTCTGCAATTGTTTGAGAATTTTATCTGATGATTTAAAAATGAAGAAATGCTTTATCATATCATATCCACTGCTTAGTGAATAAATAGTATAAAACATGTTAAAAGTGGTGAGATGTATAGCATTTGTTTTCCAATGATAAAGCAACAAAATCTTGATGGAAGAGTTGACAAAAGGTTAGGAAGAGGTTTTATCAACAAGGAAAGTTTGAAACCCTTAAACAGTTTATCAACAAGGAAGACAAGGAGAGTTTCATACCCTTAAGCTTTGTCTGGGAGTTTGAAGGGAAAGAGAGGAGGGCTTTGAAAAATTGGAAGGATTAGGTGAAAAAAATAGAAAGGTTTTGGTTGGGAGGGTTTTGAAGGGTTTGTTTTTCTTCATAACACCAAAAACCCCTTAATTTGGGGGAACTCAAAATTTGTATTGGAGAGCTTAGACAAATTGTTCAAATATAATTTTTGTTGTTATAGTATTTCCAAAATTAAAAATACATTAATGATAAACATTATTTCTAAACAAAATCTTTTTTTTCAAAAAATTTAAAAATTTCTCTATTTTAAAAAAAAAAATTTTTTTTTGAAGCCCTCCCCTCCAAACTCCCAACACAAAGCCTTAAAATATGTCTCTAGGTTTCACCGATGTGGCATGCCAACAGGTGAAAACCTGTGGAAATTTTAATGTTGTTTTGTTTGACAATGTGGCTTCGTATGAGTAAGAATATGTGAGGTAAGGTAACTAAACTAACTTCTGATTCATAGGAAATATTGTTGAAATGAAAAGAAATTGCTAAATCATAAAGTAACATAATGAAGAACAATACATAAAAATGAGTTTTTTGGTAAAAAATGAAAGCATGAAAAAAAGTGATCCAAAGAGGAGAAATAACGAATACATTATCCATTTCACATTGTGAAGTTATTTTGCAGTTCCCTGTGGCAGTTCTGCTATAATAAAGATAATGTTTTTCCTTAAAACACTTCATGCTTTACGCCATTATTAATGAAAGAATTAGTGCATTGAAGTTGACGCCTTATATTCAAATGGATTGCAGGTGGATAATGAATAGGAAGATGTGATGACGCAAGTGTAATGAATGGTTTAATAATTTAAATGCATATAAATGCAAGTTTAGGTATCTGATTTGTCTATGTGAAAAAGCTCATCATTTTCTCTATAGCTTAAAACTTAAATGTGTCGGATTAGAATGGAACTTCAATATACAATTCCAAATCCTAGATGTTGTTTTGGGCTTGATCCTGCTACAAATTAATATTGTATAGTAACTTTTACACATTGATACATCTATTTTCGGTGGCTAGTTAATTTATGCTATAATTTTCTTCTTCTTCATCAGGCGCTGGATACTTTCAATACAGCAGTGGTATCTCCCATTTATTATGTTATGTTTACAACTTTAACCATCGTGGCTAGTGTTATCATGTTTAAGGTAAGTTTTGTAATGAGACATATATCGTTGGCCTATACTTTGTTGCTTTATTTTAGTTTTTATGCGTTTCACTGTTGCTCCAAACTGCTTCTTATAGTCACTCCTAAAAGTTGGAGACATTGTGGTCGTCTGTCTAATGGTTTAGATTTTTGCATACTTACTAAAATGCTATCTTATGTCATTTTGTTTTATTATCATTTCAATATCTTTAAAGGTACAAGTTGTTGGCTAGAACTACAATAGCAAACAATCAAAGCCTTTTTTTTATTATAATTTAGTAGTTATCACTTAAGATGTATTTCATAACTTATAGATATTTAAAATAAAGTCTCTATATAGTTACTTTGAAAATCAATCTCCCCATAAAGAGGGTAGCGAGACAATATGAAATGAGTATCTTTATTTGAATGAAATTTGTGTTACAATATCAATGAGTATCTTTATTTGAATGAAATTTGTGTTTTTGTGGCATGTGTAAAAACATGATATTCTGGGTCTATTTTAAGAAATGATATTTTATACCCTATTTTCGAGAACGACTACTATAGTCTCTAAATCATTATACTTTAGGATGTCACATAAGACTTGGACATATTTGTCAGGAGAAAAGAATGTCCCTGCAAAAACAAGTTGCTTCTTAAGTTGCCACAACATATTTGTCATGGTACAAGAGAAAGTAGGCTAGTATAACCGTTTAGTCACATATGTATTGAATTTAGGATTATAGGTCACAGATATTATTAACACATTAAGAATTGATTTTAACCTTCATTTTGTTTGTTTTCGTGTTCCATGTGCAGGTTCGATAGTTTAGATATTTTTAACATATCAAATATCTGTCTGTCCATTGTTTTGCTATTTGAAGGTTGATCTTTGGTTGTGTATTAAACTTGATATCAGGACTGGGATCGGCAAAGTCCAACTCAAGTTATCACAGAAATATGTGGATTTGTTACAATACTTTCAGGAACTTTTCTTCTGCACAGGACTAAGGATATGGTGACTGATGGTATGCTCTAGTGACCCCCACTTAGTAATTTCACATGACTTAAATTTCCCTCTCGGGCTTGCAATGCACTTCTGGGTGTAAGGTCTTGCCATCTTAAAACACGATTATTAATATTATCTTCTTTTACATGTTTACAAGGTTCATCTATTACTAGACTTAATAAGCATTCAGAAGAAGATGTGTTTGATGATGTCGAAGGGATTCCCCTTAGAAGGCAAGATTCCATGAGAACAGCGCTATGATATATTCTTTGCTTCACATCTTGAATATCTCAACAGCTTCAGGTGTTGGGGAGGGAGTTTGCCTAGTATTTCATGTATTTTACCGATTATTTCCCTCCCCATAATATTTTTTCCTGATACAGTTTGGAGTGGATGGATGAGAGCTTTCTGATCTTGTCTTGTACACTTCTCTACACTCCATACTGAAGACAAACACCAATGTAATTTTCTGCACGCTGATTATATATAGTGTACCCCAGTTAAATGAAAGTATTCACCATCAAGTTTTGAACTGGACAGCGTAGCAATGTTTTTATCAGTACCTTTCAATGTAACTCACCCTATTCCTCTCTGCACTTGTCAGAGAAAAATATGGAAGTTATTATATGTAGATTTTAAAGTCAAATGAACGAATTGGAAGTATTGTTTTAAATATGAATATTATAATTAACAAGATGAACAATAGACTATACTTTGGCAATGAGCTTGTTTTATAGCTTAAATCATTTGGAAAAGTCAGTTCGGCTGAACTTGTGACAGGGACTATGCTTCCATCGGAGTATTCTATGCTGATTCTAAATTCAAAAATTTATTTTCATATTTATCATGTTATCACGCCCATTCCCTGGTTAATTGTATGGATTAAAGTATTTGAAAATTGAAATTGGAATAATACTAATTATAGGTTAGCATACTAAAGATTTGACCAGGTCAGAATATTAAAGATTTGACCTTTTCTTCATGTTAATCTATTTTGGACTGATTATGGAAACTGGGATGAGTGCGTGTACAACTTCACAAGAAATAGTGATTGTTTCATTTGCAAACAATTAAAAAAAACCTTAGTTTGCAGCTCATATTATATGTTTAACATGACAAAATACTTATAAATTACTTCAATAATAATATATAAAATAGAATAAAAGATTTTGGGGGTGACGAAGGGTAGAGGAAGGCCGAAGAAGAATGTGTCTTCTTCAACGATACCACCCTTGGATCGGAAAGGAAAACGGAGAATAGTTTTTCTACGAATGATAATTTGGACAACGAAGTAATTGTAGAAGTGGAGAACGATGGCACATCTCCAAAGAAGCTTTGGGTGCATCTCATAACTGGTAATCGAATTTTTGAAAATGGTCTTAGAATCGATTTTGTAATAATTGTTGTCGTTTCTTTCACTATGTACAGATAAATGCTAATCAATAAAATTATTACTACTTGTATTTACTTGAGTTTTATTGTTAATTTGTTTTTTCTACTTCTTTCATAATAGACGTTGATTTTAATATTTTGAGACTAATTACATAAAGATATGTGTTTTATCTTTAAGCTGAATAAACTATACTTAAATATGAAAGAAGTAGATAATAACAAAATACCAGAAGTTATTAATTGGTTTTAAAAAAAATTGGAACTTTTTTTTATTCTTTTTGATTATTTTTTTAAAATTAATTTTTTTTTTCAAAATAAAATATATTTTTTAGAAATTTAAGAAATATATTTAATTTTTTAAAATTTTTTTTTAACAAAATTAAAATATTTGAATTTTAGATAATAACCGAATAATAAATTAATCTAAAAAAAAATTAACTGGTTAATAAATATGCAAATTATATGGATGAATAACCAAGCTATTAATAATTAAAACGATTAGTAATTATTTAATTATATCCAAATATTTAAAATGAATTTAGATTTAGTTATTGATTTGGACCTTACAATTGGATATTTTGCACACTCCTAATGGAAAGCCATTGTTTAGCGACGAATGCATGACATACAAACTACGAGTGTTCTATGCAAGGATATTGGTTGAAATGGATATAACACAGAAGCAACAAGAGCGCATTGTCATCAAAGATAGTTATAGAACAATCATCCATCAAGCAGTGGGGTTTGAATGGAAACCAAAATATTGCGAACTGTGCCAAAAAGCAGGTCATCAGTGTGAAGATAAGTTTATGGAGGTAAAGGCAATAAGTGAAGTAACGGTGACACCACTGGCTGAGTCAAACAACAGGAGCCCGAAGCGGATCCAGGTTACTAATAGCATGAAAAATAAAGGTAAAAGTATAATATTGGAAACATCTACACTACATCCGATTGCAGAATTTAACTGTTATAATGGATTTGAGCTCGGGTTTCTCTTAAGCAAGCTCAAGAGGAACTACTGCAGAACAAGATGAGTGTTGATTGCATTGATAAAACGAAAAGGTGGTCTGTTGAAGTTTTGAGATTAAGCAATATCGAGGAGAAGCTTCCGAAGCTATCGGGAGATGGAAATAACAAGTGTTTCTATGCTTCTCTTAAAAGCAAGCATAATTTGAGTACCTTCAAGAACATGACCCTTGAAGATGGCATAAGAGTGACTAATCAGGAGGACTTTGAAGCAAAGGTTTTGCGTTTTCATCAAAATCTGGTTGGCTCGAAAGCAACAAATATGCAGGGTATCAATATCACTACCATGAGATAGGGGCACCAAATCAGTGTGGGCCAAGGGGATATGCTCGCTGCTGCAATAACTGAGGAGGAAATTAGTATAGCTCTCAAAGATATTAGTGATAATACGGCTCCTGGTGTCGATGGCTACAATGCCAAGTTCTTTAAAGCTGCCTGGGAAGTGGTAAAAGTTGATTTGGTTTACGTGGTGAAGGAATTTTTTGAAAAGGAGAAATTATATAAAGCCATAAACAACACTCTTGTTACCCTCATCCCTGAAGTTGATAATGCTTTGATGGTTAAAGAATTTCGACCGATTTCCTGCCGCACAACAGTTTATAAGATCATTTCGAAGGTTATGGCAAAAAGGTTGAGTAAAGTTCTGAGAAGTATAATAGATGATAGCCAAGCCATGTTTGTGCTGGGCTCCCATATCCATGATCATGTTCTGTAAATGGGTACAATGGCAAGAATGGTCCTCCCAAATGTATAAGGGCTTTGTTTGTGTTGTGGATGGCTTGCCATGACCGCCTAGCAAGGAAGGATCGCTTACACTAATTTGGTTTGATTGAAAACAACATTTACATATTCTGTAACCATATAGAAACTCTTCAACATCTTTTGTTTGAATGTGAGTGATGAAAAAATTTGGAAACAAATCCTTAATTGGCTCCAGGAAAACCATCAGCCACAAGGGTGGAAGGAAGAACTTTAATGGATTATTGGAAAGGTCAAGGGCAAAGTCGCAAAAGGAGCTATTATAAAGTGTGCGTTTGCGGAAACTCTATGAAATATGGAATCTGAAAAATTCTTGATGTTTTGGAAAGGTTAGTAATAGGAATATAGGTCATAATATTATTAGTAATGTTGTTAATCGTTGTTGGCTCAAGTAAAAACTTAGGAAGAAGCTTAGTTTATTTATGACGCCTTAATGCTTGTGTAGGTGGCTGGATCTTGTGATCACCTACTATTTTTGGAATTCAATAAAATTTATTCTTTTTTTCAAAAAATTAAAAATTAAATAAAGTTATTTTTGGATGAGTTAGTCCTTTCAAGTCAGAATTAGTTTGGTTAATTTATGTAACAAATTTATTATTTTAAGCTAACGAATATGAGAATTTGACTCGTTAAATAGAAATTCTAAATATTATTTTTGTGGATGTTGTTTAATATTTGTAAGTATTTTATTTCATTCATATGTTTTAAAAGAATTTAATTACAAAAAAAAGAAATGGATTAAATGTTTTATACGATTAACCAATGAAATACATGCATTACAATAAATCTCGTTTTTATTTTTAAAATACTGTAATGATATGGTAAGAATTTTGATTGGTTGTATATATAAAATTATTTTATCGATTTATTCTTGGTAATGGTTATAATACTCCCTTTTGGAAAGCTAGTTGGTTGGAATTCAATAGCTTGAAGGAGGTTTTTTCGGAGATATATCCAGTCTCGATTTTGAACCGTCACAGCTGGCTCGAACTGAATTTGAATGAGATGGGGGGAGGGGGGGGGGGGGGGGTACCTGCAAGACACTCCCATGATAAAATGAGAGACGGAATGAGCAGGCAAATAGTATGTAGGTGCGTAACAAATTGAATACCTGACCCTCTTGAAATAGAGAGTATTTATAGCCCCCAGCGTTGGGCCAAGGTCCCTTTATTGGACCGACCAAAGCTGGCCCAACAAAGGGACTTCCAGGTTCTACGTGTGTAGTGGGGACCCGCACGTGATCCCCTTCCTGGATGATGCTCCGCGAAGAATGAGGAAGAACGAGGATGCGGTCTTCCCGGAGCTCTAAGGATTCCGCATCATCCGGAGGGACTGAGTCTGCCCTACGGGGAGGATGCTCGAGCAAGGCTCGAGTTGGAGTACTCTCGATCGGGGACGCTGCTAGTTACGGGCAGCGGCGGGCATAGCCGTTGTGGCCTGTGACTGAGTATGCTCAGGGCGGTCTGATTCCGAGCATAGCTCGAGGAACTGCTTGGATCTGGGCATTTACTTATGTTTTGGGCCAAGGCAGGCCCAGTCCAGAACAGGAGCCCCCAAGTCGTTGTTCCTGGCACATGAGTTATGACTTGATCTCAGTTCGCTCTTTCGCGGGGACCTTGTGCCCGACTCAGGGCTTTCCCTTTCGAGGTGTGCTCGAGGATCGCTCGCGGGGATGCGTCAGCTGCGTCCGTTGGACACGTGGCATAGTCCTTGGAAACCGCAACACCACCCTAGTAAATAGGGCCATTATTATCTAGGTGAGTAGGTGTCGAGGACGGGGGTGGTTCGTGGTTCCCCGGTGCGACGTTCATATTCCACGTCATCTCTATAAATAGGATTTCAGGGCCCATAGTCTGTTTCACCTCTTCGCGCTTCTCCTACCTTCTCTATTTTTACTGCCGTTGGTTCCCGTAACGCCGTTGAGACCGCCGCACCGTTCATCGTCCGATTACTCCCACCACCGTTGTTTCTACGCATCTCCTTCCAAGTAAGTATCCTTTCTTCCTGCTTTCCTGTGTTGTAGATAGTTTTGATGACGTTTTGATAATAGAAACATGTATCTGGAAGTTATGCCCGGTAGATTTAAGCGTGCTAGGCGCCTGATTCATGGTTGTACTCGAGACATTCATAAGTTTAGGCATATGTTTCATGATCTTGCCCGCGATACTCATGCGTTTGGTCGGTAGAGTCATGAACTTGACTGGGATATTCATCCTTTAGGTAGTATGTAGGGTAGCCTCCCCGCAATGTTCTAGCATCGGGTAAGTGAAATTATGAACTTGGTCGCGTGATTCAAGATTCTCCCGGGGCGCTCATGTTACGCTCGTGCCGTTCATGGTTGATGCGTGGTTGGTGTTTGGTTGAGATCCACTTGTTTCTCGTTTCCCTCGCGAATGGCTGTAGTTTCGATCTGAGCGTTGCTCACTTCTTCTCGCCTTTGTGGCGGGCACGCGAATTTGTTGTCGAATTCACCGGTTTCCTGTACTTTGCAGGTAAATGGCCGACAACCCAGATTCCTCAGGACGTACTGACACCGAGGATACAAGCACAACATAAGAGAATGTTACCCTGGTCGAAGACCCCACATTGGACTGGGTGGGCGCCGAGCCCCGGGGAATTGCTTCGGTGTATAGCCAGCGCAGCTGACAGGCTTATACCATCATCGAGTACGGCGGTAACCAAGAAGGATTTCAATGGAACTTTAAAATAATGAGGCCGGCGAGGGACGCTCGCATATGCTCGGAGTATACCCGGGACGCGTTCCCCATGTACGAGATCGTGTTCAAGGATCTTGGTCTTCAGTTGCCCTTCAACGACTTCCAGGTCGGGGTTTTTAACCATCTGAACTTGGCCCCCTCCCAGCTTCACCCCAACGCGATTGCCTTTCTTCGGGCATTCGAGTTAATCTGTCGTTTCCTGAGAATTGGGGCGACGATTCCCCTGTTCTTCAGGGTTTTCCATCTTCAACGAAAATCATGAGGAGGTAAACATAGTTGGTTATCCCTTAAACAGTCGAAGAGGCTGTTTAGGATGTACATGGACTCGGTGAGGGACTTTAAAGACAAATGGTACATACTGCAGCCGCCCACCCAGACGGCCCTAGATTCTTTGTTTGAACCGGCCACTGTGGTCGACGAGAATGGGGAGCCCTGTTTGGATGCTGAGGGT